AGTGATGTCATTGACCACATATGGTCATGCCAAAATATGGTTAATCATATCACCTGGGAGTCCTCACCCTTTAATTATATCAGCTGTCATCCACTGGAGCTGCCAGAGTGGGCAAGCAGTCACCGGGGTAAGATCCTGTCAGACAGTTATTACCTTTTGTACCACTAGCCCCTCCCTCTTAGATTGTAAGCTCCCAGGATCAGGGCCCTCCTAACCTTCTTGTATTGAACTGTATTGTTGCTGTATTGTCTCCCGTTATATTGTAAAGTGCTGAGCAAACTGTTGGCGTTATATAAATCTTGTATAATAATAATAATAATAATAAAAAAAAAGATGTACATCTTGGGACTTTTATTTCTAATTAAAGGACTAGTCAAAAACTGTGCTTTTTTACTGTTTATATTTTTTTGGTGAATTAACAAGGTTACAATGTATACCTTACTTACTCATAGGGGTCTGGTTTGGATTTTTGGGGGAACCTCAAGTCTTTTTTTCTTGATTTTTTTGCATGGGGTTTCTCCTTAAAACCCACACCAGAAGGGTCTGATATAGAATTTTGGGGGACCTGTTTTTGGGGGGTTTACGTGGATTCCCCCTTGAAGTTCATATCAGACCTAAAGGGCTATCAGACTATTGTTAGACAGCAACAATGTTCCAGATCACTTCCAAACCTTTCCAGCAACTGTTTTTGATAAAATTGGTTGATTTTTGTGATACACAAAATACAATGTCCAGTAGATAATCAATCCAAACAAAGGTCTCACATATGTGGTATGTCCATACTCAGGAGAAGTGTAATTATAAGTATGTTCATGTTGTGCATTAGAAATATCTTATTAAATTGACAACTTTATTAAAAAAAACACTAATTTTAATTTTTATTTCCACATTTTCTAAAAAATCATTAAAGACTAGCTATGTCTCTTAAACATACCTTGGGGTATCTGCTTTCCAAACTATGGTAATTTGTGAGTGTTCTACTGTCCCAGTGCTCCAGGACCTCCAAAATTGTACGTCAGAGTTTATAAATTTCAATTGTAGAAACCAGGGGCGGGCTGACAACTCATGGGGCCCCCAGGCAATAGGGGATCATGGGGCCCCTGTGTCCTTGCCCAAACTCAAAAAATCCTATGAAAAAGGTACCAGGGGACCCCTACTGACCCAGGGCCCTCGGGCAGTGCCCGAGTTTCCAAATGGTCAGTCCGCCCCTGCTCACAGATGTTCATCTCCCACCTATTGAAATAGGTGGCTGTACTGTTCTCTGTTGTTTGCTGATTAGGGTAAAGCTGAGTTCCACCCAGAAGTGGAAGCTCTACCTTTCTGCCCCCTCCCCCCCTCCACTGCCACATTTGGCACCTTTTTTGGGGGGGAGGGCAGAGCAGGTACCTGGTTTTGGAAGGCACCTGTTCCCACTTTCAGCTGAGTTCGCCACGGCAAACTGTGCCAGATGTTTGGGACCCCTCGCAGCCCTCTGGGAAGACACTTCCAAGGTCCCAAAGCACTGCAGCCCATTTACAAAGTGCAGCATACTTAGCGCATGCGCAGTAGGAATCCAGCGGTGAAATCGGTTCCCTTAGTCAAGATGGTGGCACCAGCACCCAACAGGTGACTGAAGAATCAGCTCGAGGGGAGGACACCACTGGATGCCTGGACAGATAAGTGCCCTACTATTAAAAGTCAGCAGCCACAGTATTTGTAGCTGCTGACTTTTAACTTTTTTTTTTTTTTTTGGAGGTGGTGAGGACTTGAACTCCACTTTAAGGTTACAGAGTCGAGGCTCAAACTCTGCATCAGAAAATGCCATGCCCTTGCTATAGATGTATTAATGAAAAGCAAACAAAGTTGTAAGTAAAAAAGGAAAATGTAACAAACTAAAGGTGCCGGTAAATGCTACATAACGAGTGTCCATATTGCCATCCTAGGATCACTTACCTTTTGTGAAATTGTCCCTTTCCAATTTAAAGGCCTGAACCTGGACATCCAGGAGCACAAGGCTCACATTGGGAGTAATTCTCAATATCACTTCTTCACAGGTAAATAAATGTCCAAGTGGGGTCACCAAGGTTTCTAGAGGCATAAAATCTCCTACGTATAACTCATCTGTAAACCAAGAAACATACAGATAATTTACATCTGAGCATGACTGCTAAGTTCAGGAAGACAAATGATGTGTGTAGGTGGATGGCATACATAGGAAACAAGGTTGGACATGGCTAGAATGTAAATGGAAGAATTCTAATCTTTCCTAGACTACTATATAGGGCAGCCCAAATAAGCACCACCCAGAAGGGGCATTACCCAAACAAACAATGAAAAATTGACAAGTAGGGTGAAGAAGGAAAACAGATGAAATTCTGCCCAGGTTAATGCATGAACCCAAGGCTGAGCTCAGCTGGGGTTTTTTTTATACAGGAACCAAAACTGATCACAGTAGGGACTAGCAAAAGAGAAAATAGGTAAAAAAAACTAGGACTAGTGCTCAAGATGATAATGTTAGCAAAAATTCTACCGTTATAGGGTTATTGTGTTCAAGGTGAGTACTTAGTATAACCAACTTTAACATACAAATAGGTTTTTAGGTAAAAACTAGGATTCTAGTATACAATGGTGAGCAGGTGATGTACTAGGACACAAGGATACAATATTATGCAGCAGATGGACTAGGACACAAGGATAAAATGCTGAGCAGGAGATGGACTAGGACACAATGATACAAAGGTGAGCAGGAGATGGACGAGGACACAAGGATACAATGGTGAGCAGGAGATAGACTAGGTCACAAGGATACAATGGTGAGCAGGACATGGACTAGGACACAAGGAGACAATGAAGAGCAGGAGATCAACTAGGACAGAAGGATACAATGCTGAGCAGGAGATGGACTAGGACACAAGGATACAACGGGGAGCAGGAGATGGGCTAGGACACAAGGATACAATGCTGAGCAGGAGATGGACTAGGACACAGGGACACAGGGACACAATGAAACAATGGTGAACAGGAAATGGTCTAGGACACAATGATGTAATGGTGAGCAAGAGAAGGACTAGGACACAAGGATACAATTGTGAGAAGGAGATGGGCTAGGACACAAACAATGAAGAACAGGAGATGGATTAGGACACAAGGATACAATACTGAGTTGGGGATTAGGGTCAGCACACAGGGACTAGTGCTGCACTTTGGTAAGAATGATTATTGTAGAGAAATTATTAGGATTAGCTAGGGTGAGTACAGGAATCAACAGGGTTGAACATGACCTTGGGAATTAAAAGAATATCCTACACAGAACATGACTAAAAGAAATACATTGCTGGTCTTAGAAAAGTCAGTTCACCAAAAAGTGATGTATGTAGAACCATGTCAGCTCATGGCTTCTTTTATGTGTTACATACTGTACACACTACAAAGTGGGCCCTGTGTGCTATCATTTGGAGAGGGTGTGAGACCTAAAAAGAACCACCATGCCGAGTCTAAGAAAGAAGATCTTCACCAGAGAACCCTGCAAGGACTAATGGACTTTCCTGGTACCAGGATGCCACTCTTGAGAACACCTGTGCAGATAGCAGGGTAGAACTAAAGCACAGTACAAAGTCAACAGGCAATTTCAGTAATGGGGACAAGCCAAAGGTCAGGATGGGCAGCAAGCAAGTATATTCAAATATAAACTGAAGTCAAACCTATTACTCAGGCAATGGGTATTGGCCTGAGCATAGCTATATAGAGAGGCTGATTGACAGACTGGGAAGGGACTGGCTGTGTAGGTGCTATAATATTCAACAGTTGGAATATGGCCATGCCTATACCTCCCAGTCCTGGAACAAAATAAACTGTAGAAAGGTAGGGGAGGTTACTAGTTAAGAGAATAACAAGCAGCGGAACAGATTTGCTGCTGATCTGGGACAACATGCAGATCATATTTCCGTACCCAGCTCTGTTCTGGTCCACAAGGGTGCTTTGGTCAATCCCACTTTTTTTTTTGTCTTCTTGCACCTCATAGGATGTTTCTGACCTTGTTTGTCCCAGCTCCTTCAATCACAATCTCCATAAAAAAGAATTAATATAAAATCCAACAAAGATGGTGGGAACCCCTCACAATGAGCACAGCAGGTTTATAGACCTGGGAATTCATCTCAGGTATGGTGGGAGCCCCTCATAATGGGCACAGCAGGTATATTGATTTAAGATCTCAACAACAGAGTCCCTGAGAGGTAGAAAAGGCTGTAATGGGGGGGGGGTATTTCTACAGCGTCCACCAACTATTGAAATATAAGATTTGAGTTAACTGACTGTTTAACTTGGACCAGTACATTTGGATACAGTACAGTGCTAGCAATTGTTTTGCTTTGTTGCTAAAATATCCTGGCAGTATGAAGTTGTATTTGTTGTATTACCTTTTTCCTCTATGAAAAGGCCAACCTCCCCCAGGTAAAAATAACTTCCCGTCTTGTTCTACAAAAAGAATAGTACAAATTATTTCATACATACAATTGTTACTAGTTATCTACATATATATTATGTTTTTCTGCTGTTGCAATGCAGTGGGGGAGATTTACTAAAGCTGGTGCACTCAGAATCTGGTGCAGCTGTACATGGTAGCCAATCAGCTTCTAATTACAACTTATTCAATTAAGCTTTGACAATAAAACCTGGAAGCTGATTGGTTTCCATGCAGAGCTGCATCAGATTTTGCACTGGTAAATAACCCCCATTGTGTCAAGTTATGATATGGTGCATTGTTTCCCAACCTACTTTAAACTATCATTGGATTCTTGGGAGTCAGAAAAGTGGTCATACTGTTTTTAAAGGCTGGATCACTGTGCAAAGTGGTATTTGAAACAAATTCTTACTTCATAATACAAAATTCCAAACTGTCCACTTCATTTTGTCTGGAAACCAAATGCCCCCTCTTGTTAACCCCCCTGGAAGTATTCCCGAGTGTAGCTCGGGGTAAAGTTTCAGCACCACAAGCGGTAACCCTGAGCTACACTTGGGAATACACTGCAGCGCTGCTCTGGGATCCCTCCAGCACTTACCTTGTCCTGCGCTCCCGCGATGTCCCCCCTGCAGTGTCCCCGGCCATCTCCTCTGGCCGATGCCGACATCTGTCTTCCGGGTTCCGTTCCCTGCGACGTCGGGACGTACGGGGGACGGAACTGGCGGGAAATTTGAAAGTTGTAAAAGTGACTGTCACAGAGCTGGTCCTTCCTTCCCGATCCTCCAGGTTTGCCGGCTGCCACCTCCCACCCCTCAGCAGCCCCTTGCTCTTCTGTCCCATCCATGCTGGGACTTCTAGTCCTCTTTGTCCCTGACACAGGCAGCCCTCAGCAGCCCCTCACCCCCCTGGCTTGCAGTCTGACCTCCTGCTGAAGGAATCCACAAACAGGCCATCTCCTCCCTTCCCCCTCATGCACAAATTCCTGAGCCCCCTGGACAGGTCTGGAGACCTGAGAGACAGGACCCATTGCCATGGTAACCCGATAGGGAAATATCCAGTTACCAGCTCTATACTTAAGGGTGAGCAGGAAAACCCCATTGTGTTCTCCTGGCTGCGTGTGTGAGGGAAGGCTGTGCTGAGGGCCAGCTTCTCTCATCAGACCATCCCCCGTCCTCCTCCTCATCTCCTGGACTGTCTGTGCTGCCTGGAATCCCTGCACTGTGGAGGAATCTTCTGCTGTCCCGTTGAACCTGCCTGGATCTATCCCCTGCCTGGACTTAACCCCTTGTTCTCCGTGAACCTGCCTGGACTTAACCCCTTGTTCTCCGTGAACCTGCCTGGACTTAACCCATCCCTGCCTGGAGCCTCCTGTGTGGATTAACCCTGTGGATTACCATACCCCTGTTGTTCCATATTGCCTTCCAGAGAACTGTACTGTGTTGCTGTGTCTGGTGTGGATCTGTGGACTAAAGGAACTGTTGTCTGTGCCCCAAAAACCTCCCCAATAAAAGCACGTTGGGTTCTGTGCAATCTGCCTCTGTGTGCTCTCTGGTTCTCTTGACAGTGACATTTACTAAATTCACTAAAATCACATAGTATAACATTCCTGTATCAAACCATTTCACATACATTTTGTCCCGAGTGCTTTGTCCGGCGCCCTGCCTGCATTTTTACTGTTCTTTCTGCCTGGAAACTGAGAAACATCCATGGCGTCCAAAAAGCGTACCTTTAGGTCAGACGCGGTTTTAGACCGGCTAGAGAACAGCGATAGTAAATTAGAACCACTTGCAGAATTGAGTGATAATGATTCGTGGGGGAAATTCCTCATCAGACACTGAAAACGATTCTGCGACTGAGCTCAGCGATGTGAGAACTTGGCGCTCTATTTCACATTTCAGTGTTTTTGGTTTGATTACATTATTGAATTACATTTTTTATTATTATCATATTATTATTTTTTTATGATTATTTAGTAAATTATCATTTATGATTTTGTGTTTCAAATTTTAACATACCCGGGATGTTTACTAGACTCTTGTTCGGACAGATTTCAGTGAGTTATTCCTAAAAATTACAGACCTACAATAAAAAAAATACCTGTGATGCTTGCTGTGATATAGACATACTTTGCCCTCTGTGTTCTGTCTACCCATTACACCCCAGCCCCATCTGTGTCTTCTTTACCTCCATGAATGTCAGGCTAAGATCTCCTCCTGGAAATATCAGTTGCAGCCACGCTTCACCTTCATTACAAAGTCCAGAAGGATATGTGATTGGAGGTGACGGGATGGTGATCTGAAGAGCACAATGAGCACAAGGATCAGTGTGAGATGGACCAGGGAGATAGCTTAATACATGTTCTCATTGCTTACTGTCTAATAACTGTAGTGTGCAGAATAATTGAAACCTAGCAACAATGTAATTCACAGAGCTGGTAGTCTCTCTCTTCAATATAAACCATGTTCATTTTATACCCCAAACTCTGCTCCTCTTCAACATGATTGACCCTCTGCTAGGGCTTTGTCATAGAGAAAAAGATTGAGAGAAGAGGGGAATATTCATCTGCCCCCAAATTCCCACAATTAACAACATTAAAGGTGCAACCTATCATTGTTCTTTCTTCAGCCTTAAACAAGCCCATAAGGATCCCCCGTCTTCCTCCAACTCCTCCATTATCATACCTCCCTTTTATAAGAACTCTCCATAATAACAATCATCTTTAGTAGTATATTCAAGCAAACCATGTTTGAAACACATTTCATATTCAAATCCAAAGCTGGGAGATGCAAATGTAATACTTTTTTTTTTACCATTTTAGCCACCTTTCAGCCAAAAGCACCTGAACAGGAAAGAGACCAAAAAACTCCTTTGCCTCCATGACTAAGCCTCGAATGAGGGTGAAATTGATCAGAGGTGCTGAGACGGGGCGATGCAATGAACATTGTTCTATAAAGTTGAATTAAAAGAGGAATTAACAGCATGCATTGCTGGAAAGTTTCTGGGGAACAGACGCGCCCCATTGTTGGATACATCTCCAGTGGCTGGGGAGTTCATCCAGGGTCTTCTGAGAGCCATATCATTTCCCTGTGTTAATTCATTCAGCAACAGTGTGATGTCCATTCATTGGAATATTTCCACATTTCATATGACACTTCTAATAGCTATTGTATAGTTATAGCCAGGGGCGGACTGACAACTCGTGGGGCCCCCGGGCAATAGGGGATCATGGGGCCCCTGTGTCCTTGCCCATACTCAAAAAAGCCTATGAAAAAGGTACCAGGGGCATCTCATGGGGCCCCCTACTGACCCGAGTTTCCAAATGGTCAGTCCACCCCTGGTTATAGCTTTGTGCTGAGAAGAGCAGGGGAATCATTACTGCAACCTAGTTGCAAAAAGGAAATTACAGAGCTAAATGAATTGTAGAATTTAAATTGTAACCCTTAAGACAAGACACAGCAATAGTGTGATGTCCAGTTACTGACATGTTTCCAACTTTCATATGACCCTTCCCTTATACACTGCAAATAGCTATTAACTGATGATAGACAGGGAATTGTTACTGATACAACCAATTATATTAGCACACTGTTATAAGATTTATGGCCATTGCCCTTTGCTGGCAGCCCTGTCTATGACCTCAGAACAGGATTTCATATAGTCATTGATCTGCTAATGCTGGGATTTGATGGGGTGATCTAAACCAATCCTAACTTGCATGCCTGGATTTGACGTTCTTCATTGCCATCGGCTCTCAAGCCTTTACAACTTCTGGATTATATTCAGGACTAACTTACATTTGTGATCTTGGTGGTGTTCACCATTACTATGAAGGTTGCCTTTATTCTTAGACAGACTACTGATCTGCTAATCAGGATGTATTCTGTGGAAGAGGGTGGAGGAGAAGGTCCTTGTGTGGTATGATCGGTAGGTAGCACAGTGGTATGATGTGTGGTGTGGTGGTTGATCTTTTTTGGACAATTATCACACTGCGGATTCATTATATTCTGCATAGTAGTCGGTCTTGGTGTGACATCTTGAGTGTCTCTGATGTACTCTGTGGGAGAGGGCAAAGAAGAAGGTCCTGGAGTGTCTCTGATGATGTTCTCTGCAACAAAAAGATGAGATGAAGAAAGATGAGTGACATCTCAATGACAGCTACAGCTGAAATGGTTTTTGGTGAAAACAATTGACAATCAATACAGGTGAAACTCGAAAAATTAGAATATTGTGCAAAAGTTCATTTATTTCAGTAATGCAACTTAAAAGGTGAAACTAATATACGAGATAGACTCATTACATGCAAAGCAAGATAGTTCAAGCCGTAATTTGTCATCATTGTGATGATTATGGCTTACAGCTCATGAAAACCCCAAATCCACAATCTCAGAAAATTAGAATATTCCATGCAATCAATAAAACAAGGATTGTACATAGAACAATATTGGACCTCTGAAAAGTAGAAGCATGCATATGTACTCAGTACTTTGTTTGGGCCCCTTTTGCAGCAATTACTGCCTCAATGCGGCGTGGCATGGAAGCTATCAGCCTGTGGCACTGCTGAGGTGTTATGGAAGACCAGGATGCTTCAATAGCGGCCTTCAGCTCTTCTGCATTGTTCGGTCTCATGTCTCTCATCTTTCTCTTGGCAATGTCCCATAGATTCTCTATGGGGTTCAGGTCAGGCGAGTTTGCTGGCCAATCAAGCACAGTAATCCCACGGTCATTGAACCAGGTTTTGGTGCTTTTGGCAGTGTGGACAGGTGACAAGTCCTGCTGGAAAATGAAGTCAGCATCCCCATAAAGTTTGTTTGTGGAAGGAAGCATGAAGTGCTCCAAAATCTCCTGGTAGACGGCTGTGTTGACCCTGGACTTAATGAAGCACAGTGGACCAACACCAGCAGATGACATGGCTCCCCAAATCCACACAGACTGTGGAAACTTCACACTGGACTTCAACCATCTTGCAGTGTGTGCCTCTCCATTCTTCCTCCATACTCGGGATCCTTGGGCCTCTCCATTCTTCCTCCATACTCAGGGTCCTTGTGCCTCTCCATTCTTCCTCCATACTCTGTGTCCTTGGTTTCCAAATGAGATGCAAAAGTTGCTTTCATCAGAAAAGAGGACTTTGGACCACTGAGCAACAGACCAGGTCTTTTTTTCTTTAGCCCAGGTAAGACGCTTCTGACGTTGTTTGTTGTTCAGGAGCGGCTTGACAAGAGGAATACGACATTTGAAGCCCACGTGCAGGATCCGTCTGTGTGTGGTGGCCCTTGATGCACTGACTCCAGCCTCAGTCCCCTCCTTTTGAAAGTCCCCAACACTTTTGAATGGCCTTTTCCTGACAATCCTCTCCAGGGTGCGGTCATCCCTGCTGCTTGTGCACATTTTTCTTCCACACTTTTCCCTTCCACATAACTTTCTATTAATGTGCTTTGATACAGCGCTTTGGGAACATCCAACTTCTTTTGCAATTCCCTTTTGAGGCTTTCCCTCCTTATGGAGGGTGTCAATGATAGTGTCAGGTCAGCAGTCTTTCCCATGATTGTGATCCTACTGAACCAGACTGAGAGACCATTTAAAGGCCCAGGAACCCTTTGTAGGTGTTATGGCTTAATTATCTGATTAGAGTGGGACACTTTGAGCCGAGAATATTCCACTTTTTCACAATATTCTCATTTTCTGAGATTGTGGATTTGGGGTTTTCATGAGCTGTAAGCCATAATCATCACAATGATGACAAATCACGGCTTGAACTATCTTGCTTTGCATGTAATGAGTCTCATATATTAGTTTCACCTTTTAAGTTGCATTACTGAAATAAATGAACTTTTGCACCATATTCAAATTTTTTGAGTTTCACCTGTATAGATCTCTTTACAAAGATCATAAACAATTACAGATTAGCACTTGTGAAAGTCCCACATTTTTTAGACATTTTGGAGACTTTTAGCATTTACAAGTGAATATATTACCAAAGTTTTTTTAAATTATGAGTAGTGGGGAAACAATAAATTCCCTGTTAGTTTTTTTTTCTGTCCTAAACACAGATTTCACTTTGATTTACCCAGAGAAACAATAGAAAGAGAGGAGAACTGCCTGCAAAATAATCAAACCGTACAAACCTCATATAGTCTGTGTATAGAGATGGGGGATCAGCTAAACGGTAACACTGTTCAAATCCAAATATAGCAAAAATACCGAACTCCTTGTGCGTCACCTCCTGCCCCCACCCCCATCCCTGTGCTCCCTGTAACCCCATCCATGACAACCAACTTTGTTTATCTCCTCTCTATTCACATTTACATGAATGTTCCTTGGGTGCTCACCCTTTTTCTGATTGTCACTGTTCACTATGTGACACAAGGTGACCCTATGTACAATGAGAGGCAAAATTAATCTTTGGGGATTCCCTCTATTGCTTCATATCAATAAATATGACTCTAGCCATAGGACTGTAGCTGCGTATAGCAAACAGCTCAAATATAAAACTAAATTCCGGGCAAAGAGATTAAAAACATTTGAAATATAGTACATATACTGTATGTGATCCATCTTGGCTATCAAAAAATTTGCAATTATGTGCTTTGATCTAAGTATCCTTATTGACAGCTCAGCCAGATCCCCGACCTCACCTATCTCAGTTGTCAGGAGTTAGTATGGATTGGTCATGATGCAAACCCCCCAC